CCTTAGGATTGACTGGTTTGATCTCCTTGCTGCCCAAGGGACTCTCAAGAGTCTTCTCCAGCACCACAATTTGAAAGCATCAATTCTTTGGTGCTTAGTCTTCTTTATGGTCCAACTCTCATATCTGTACTTAATGACTGGAAAAACCAAGATACTTAATTTCCCTAAAAATTGTTATCTCTAAAGATAGAGTTACATAAACAATACAGACATCCTTATCTTTACAAATGCCTGTTTGTACTCAGTAATTATATATAAGCTCTGTAGTAAAAACTTTGATTCATCCCTCTAAAATATTATGTAAATTGTATAAACCAAAAAAAAAAAAAAAAAAATCTTTCCCCAGTATATATAATGTCTACTTTGTGTTTTCTGCATTGTATTAAAACCTCTCTTTTTCACGTCTGATTCCTCCACTTGACTAAGAACTCAAGGATGTGGGCAGTGTCTTATTTATCTTTATATCTCTAGCACCTAGTAAAAAGTTAGTGTTCAATAAATATTTATAAACTATACTATCATCCTTGCCATTTTTTCTGATGATAAAAATGATAGTGAGCAACCATAACTGATTTACTCAAGATCACAATTTATTAGGCCTTGCAACTAGGATTTAAGACTAGTTCTTGAAACAAGAGTGTCCAAGATGGTGGAGTAGGAAGAACCTGAGCTTACCTCCTCCCATGGGCCCACCAAACTTACTGAGACAGACAGACCTCAGACCCTTTACTGCAGTGTTGCAATGCTTTCACCTGGCCACCCCACTCTTCCAGCAACAAAATACAAAAAAATATTGTATGGGGCTAAAAATAACTGCATGCATGCCCAGCTGGGACAAATTATGGACAAAAGATACAAAGAGACCAAAAAAACCTGCCACTTTTGAAGAGCCTGGAGCAAAAGCAGGGGAATGGGAGCAAAAGCAAAGTATTGTGCATGCCCCCTACACATATCACCACCTATGATGTGGTCAAAACACCTAAGCTACCCCTTTGCTCCGACCCATGGACACATTTCTATCCTCACCCCTATAAGGAACAATCTTGCCCTGCTTTAGGAGGTGATCAAGTAAGGGAACCTGTTACCTGTTCTTGCTGCCCCTACTGCATCAGGGGCCACAATAAAGCCTTCCCTGAACTTCTTGTCTGGCCTGTAGTCAATTTCTATTGATTGGGGAAGGTCAAGAACCCTGTTCGGTAATATTACAACTATTTTACAGAGCAACAATCAATGGTGAGAATGACCTGAAGTCTAGCACGAAAGATCTACAACTACAGATATGAGGAAAGAATCACAACTAGACAGGTAGGAGGGGCACATGCATGATACAGTCAAGGCCTACACCCCTAAACAGGTGACCCACAAATAAGAGGATAGTTACAATCGTAGAGTTTATCCCCAAGGAGCAAGGGGTTTGATCCCCATATCAGATTCCTAGTCAAGGGGTCCTGAACCAAGAAGACAAGGCCTCAGAACATCTGGCTTTGAAAGCCAGCAGGGCTTGCTTTAAGGAGAGCCAGAGGTGTACAGGAAAGAGGTATTCTATTCTTAAAGGTTGCACACAAAATCTCACATGCTCTGAGAACCAGGACAAAAGCAAGGTGGAAGATGCCTGGGTCATATTGACCTGCTGATAGTAGAGAGCCATACAGAGAGACAGGAGACAAGTGGAGCTCACCCTGGGGACATAGAAGCTGGAGGCAACCATTTTGAGGTTGTAATTCTACCATGAGGAAAAAGATGCTAGAAAGCACCATTTTGGAGTACTCCCTGTAGCTTATTAATGTTGGACATGGCCCTATCCACCAGCCAGTTGGCACGAGCCCTAGGAGCCATACAGGGATATAGCTGTATCCACCAGCAGGCTAGAGGCAGCAATAGGTCCCCTTGGACTACCCAGAAACTCCAGGACCCAGCCCCACCTAACAGTAAGCTGCCATGAGTCCCAGGAACTCGTTTACACTGCAGCAGACAGGTAACGGCCCTAGAACATATTGGGCCCCAACACTGCCCACTAATGTGCTGAAACCAGTTTTGAGATACATCATGTCCTACAACCAGCTTACCCAAGATGCAGACCCACCAAACAGGCTGATACAAGTCCCAGGCCCCAGCTTGATCCAGCAGCAGCCTGACAACCATTCTGGGACACTTCCTTTAGGCCTCCCAAGAAGCTAACCAGTGCCCAGCCAAGCCCACCAGTGGGCCAGGACCAGGACACAGCCTAAACTATCAAGGGGCAATAACCAGTACCAGGGCTCCTTGGGCACCACCACCAACTGCAATAGAACTCAGACTGGCCCATCCGCAGGCAGCAGTTTCAGCAGTAGGTAAACAATCAGGTGGAGGGGTCAGTCCATGCTCACCAGTGTGCCCACAACAGTAGGCCCCAACAAAAGAGGGGCATACTTTTATATACAAAACATTCTATTCAAAAGCTTGCTGCAGAATATACATTCTTTTCAAATATACATGAGCCATTTTCAAGGATAGATCACAAGCTAAGGCACAAAATAAGTGTCAGTAAATTGAAGGAGATAGAAATCACACTAAGTATCTTTTCTAATCATGACATTATAACTAGAAATCAACTATAAGAAAAAAAACTGCAAAAAACTTAAACATATAGAGGATAAACAGTTGAACAACCAAAAGGATCACTGAAGAAATCAAAGAGGAAATCAAAAATATCTAGAGACAAATGAAAATGAAAACACAACAATCCAAGTTTTATGGAATGCAGCAAAAGCAATTCAAAAATGGAATGTTACAGCAATATAAGCCTAACTCATAAAATGAGAAAAATCCCAAACAAACTAATCTTACACATAAAGTAACAAGAGAAAGAATAAACAAAAGCCAGTCACTACAAAAAAAAAAAAGAATTAATAAGCTAGAGCAGAAATAAATGAAATATAGACAAAAATTAACAAAAAACATAAAAGATTGATGAAACTAAGAGCTAGTTGAAAACATAAAC